AAAGGGCTTTTCCTGGTGTCCCTTAAGCCTTTTTTCTCCTTCATTTGTTTCTACCCGTTCCTTTTAATACATGGCTACCCCCTAGAATGGAGCAGGGCTTGTGTCCCGGGGACTGACTGCCTGCTGGTAGCTGCAAACAGTCCCTGCGGGGGTAGAAAAAGAGGGTAAAGGGCAGGATTGCAATGTTTTCTGAGTCGCAGGCCTGAGGCTTGCTGTGAAGCTGGGTCTGAGAGATGGGACTTTCTGTTGGTGATTAAATCATGTCCTTACTCAAGTGCCAGCAGCTTTCCAACAAGCACAACTTATGCCATCCTGGCCTAGCCCTGGAGTATTCTTCCAACCTTAGCTCAGAAGGGAGGGCTTCCCAAGAGACCCAGAACTGAAAAACCACAAATTACTGGATTCCTGAGCTCCATGATCCGCAAGGGCTGTCAGGAGGAATGAAAGGATACATTGGATAGCCAGGTTGGTTCCTCTTGAACCCTTCTACTGTCTTCATGGAGGGAGGGCACACAGATACAGAGGGTCCTTGTGCACTATGGCTGAGACGCAGCCATCAGAGGTGCAGTGCATGCTGGGGAGAGGGAAGTGAGATGTCCAGGCGCTGACAGCGTGAAAGCCAGGCTTTCTTCCACGTAATTGGATTTGTTATTCAGCTGAGAAACAGTGAATGGCTTGGGTGGGCTCTGAGCTTGTGATTTCAGTGAGGAAGTCAGGACGATGCAGCAAAGTAGGTCATACTGCTGCAAATAGGGTTGATGGTTTTGCACAACAATTGATGATGTTAAAAAAGGAGGTGGTGAAATGGAAGAGAAGGGAGATTGTAAGGAGTTTGCTGCAGGCGGCTTCCAGCTCAGGCTTCCCCCAGCCCTGCTGCCTGTACACAGAGGGCACCAGGCTCCACTGGAGCAAAAGGGATTGGGCCCAGTTTAAATTTCCAGCTAGTTGTGGGGAGCTGGGGGCAATGGTTTCTCCTGCTCTTGGAAGCTTAACTTCATTTATGAGCAGCATTTCTTGGGATGACAGTTCGTGAGCCTGGACCCAGACTAAGCCATGTTTGGTTTATCCCAAGAGAGAAGGTGCATCAGGAATCAGAAAATAATTTGATATAGGACGTACCTTGGGGTGGTTGTGCAATGCTGGGGCATTCATTAACACACAGGAGAAAATGACAAGTTATGGACATGAGGCTTCATTGCTCTGTATAGACATGGATGAATTTAAAAGCATGTTGAATGGCTGGAAAAAAATAGTCCTTCACTCCACAGATGTGTCTAAAATGGCAGAGCCAGCCTCTGGATGGATGTGGCGCTTCCGCAGACAAGGGAGGTATTAAATCACCAGCTACAATGTTTTTTAATTGACTCTAGTAAGAAAGGGAGAGTGAGCTCAGATGGTAGTTCCCTGTAGGGGCTTCATCACACGATAATATTATTTCAAGGGCAGCTGGGGTCAGGCTCAGAAAATGCATGTTTAAAAACCAACAAGGCACTATGAATTTCATTAAATAAGAGTATCATCCTTTTGCATCTGAGGAAGGCTCAGTGGGGTCAGTCTGTGGGGATGGAGATCCCAAGACCTGGGCTTGGGAGAGGTGCCTGCCCAGTCCCATCTCTGAGTATCTCCCTGCTATCTCTTCCCAAATGCTTTCTGGAGAGTGGGAAGCACCCCATTATAGAGCTGGGGTACTGAGGTGGAGAAAGCCTATGGGCAAGCTCCAGACAGGGCCAGAAGATGGGCTGAAAGCAGTTGTCCTGTTCAAGCTTTCCTGTGGGATTGAGTACCTGCAAAACAAGGCAGGAGCTGTTGAACAAGTCCCCCTTTGGTGGTCTGGGTCTTCTGGTAGCAGTTTGCTGCCATGCCAGAGTGTGAGCAAGGGCCATATCCTTGCCCTGCACCTCTGTGCAAACTCTGTTCCAGGCTCCTGACCACTTTGTGGGGAAGATGTTTGAGCTCCTGACACCCTACAGCAGTACTGGCCATAGCATGTGGGTATGTTTCTCAGGAGCCTGGGAACACGCAACCTCTGTAATGCCACCAGACAAGACTC